AACCCCAAAAGAGCAAAGAGCGATCTCAACGTAAGGACAACTTATCGGCAAGCCCAAGGCCCGCCTAGAGGAAATCACAAGGGCAAGGGAAGGTATTTCCTGTGCAAGAGGTGTGGCAAGGACCACCCAGGGAAGGATTGTGACACCCCGTAATCAGTTCTATTTAGGGATTAATTAAGTAATTAATCCTAATTCAATTGGTAATTTAATCCCTTAAATTCCTGAAAATTCAATAGTCAGGGACTAGTAATTGACTAGTCAACCCAAGTCAAGTGTTGTACCTAAAGCTTTGTGAATAGTTCCCTTGTTCCCTTACACTTTTCATCTTAGTAAGGGTAAAGAAGACATTTCCTTCATGATTGTATTCCAAGCTAACCTAGAAGACACCTTTCATTTCTTCCCTAACACTTTCAAATCAAAAGCTCTCCCTTCTCTCTAAAATCTAGCTAGCTTTCTCTCCAAGCTAAGTTTAGGGTTACCAAGATCTTCAAAGTTTGTCTCCAAGATTCCACCTTTCATTCTCTTGAGCATCTAGGAGGGTAAGATCTATGTTTCTTTTGTGTTTTTAGTGTTTTCTAAGGTATCTTTTTCTAAAGGTGAAATCTTTATGATCTTTTGGTGTGTTCTTGAAGTGGGTGTGGAAGGTGAACCTTGTTAGGAGCTTTGAGAAGTGTTTTAAGTGAAGGTTGAGTCTTCAAGAGGTAACCCATGCTCTACAAAATCTATTTTGTTTACCTATATGATGATTTATTGGATTCTACATGTGATTTTGCTATGAAATGTGAGTGTTGATGCATTGTCTTGTGAAAATGCATATCTAGAGCTTGTTATTAGGGTTCATGTATGCCATTGCTTGGCTATTCCTTTGATTCAAGTCATTTTGTTGTATTTGGTGAGATTTGGCATGTTTTGGACTTGAATTTGAGCTTGGAGTTGAAAATCCCCGAAGGGATATTTTTGGTATAGGGCGTGTACCCGCGGGCGGAACGGCGGGCAGTGGCCTACCTACCGCCCCACCCGCGGGGAACAAGGCTTGGGAGAGTGTGTTCCGCGGGCGGAACCACGGGTGGGGGTCCACCCGTGGCCCCACCCGCGGGGTACATATATGTGGCTTGTTGGGCATTTGTTCCCCGTGATTCTTTTGACTCGGTATTTGGTCTTTTGACTTCCCGATGTTCTTTTGTGGAACTATTTGAGTGTCTTCTTGATGTTTCGTATGTCTAGAACTATATGGTAGGATTCCATGTAGGTTTTGGTGTCTTGAATCGTGCTAAGTGTTCAACCTTGTGATTCGTTGAACCATGATGAGTCTTGAGTGTTCTTCGGAACTATGTTTGATTTACCCGTTTGATAAGCATGCTAGTTCGGTGTTTAAATGCTAGCGTGTGTGGTTTGTCCTTTCCTATTATGGATGATGACTTGTGTTAATCATCATTGGAGTCGGATTGTGATCCTTTCCTTGTTGAGTATGGTTTCATATCTTTGTTGTGATCCATTGATTGATTCCTATGATGGTGTGGTGTGTGTGGCTGTACCTGGATTGCACGATTAATGGTATGGGACATTAGTCACCAAGGTACGGCAGTGGTCCTTGTGGTGGCCATGACGTGATTATGGAGTTTGTGACCTGTGTGTCGGGTTCACGTATTTCTTGGGAGGCATGTGTTGCCATGTGTGTGATCGGCACCCTCGTGTACTATGAATTGGTGGAATTGTTGGCAGTCGTTGGCGGGTGGGGACGACGGTCATCGGAGGGAAAATGTTGGACTTGGTGTACAGGGGTCCTGAAGGTAATGGTTGGAACTAGACATAAGGTTGGGGGTAGCTATAAGGTTGGAACCGGGCATAATGAAGGCATATCAATTCGTGATGGGTGATGTCACGAAGGCATGTGTTGTCGTTGTTGTGTATTTCTCTATTTGTGACATGTGTTGTCACAAAGGCATGTGTTGCCAATGTGGGTTTCTTGATTCTCTTGTATTGTGCATGTCGGTGTTATTCTACTGAGTGATGGTTGAATACATCATGAGCCGTTCTTGTGTGTCGTTGTACTTCTTGTGGTCTTGGGATGTGTTCCCTTGTCTTTGTTGTGAGTGGATTGAGTCTTGTGTTTGACTTCTACTCTTGGCTTTGAACTTATATATATTATATTCCGTTTCGCAAATGGTTTTGTATATATATCCTATCTATGTATGATATTTCACATGTATTGGTGGGTTACCAGCATTATTCGCTGACCGGGCATCGTCCCATATATTTATGTGTTTCTTTCAGGTTCCGAGTAGAGGCGAGCGCGGTCTAGTGATGGATAGTATAGATCCCTCAGACCTTGTAGTTGTTTTGGCCTGTGTGCCTATGTTGGATTTAGACTTGTTGTTGTTTGACCTTATCCTTTGTAGACAGATTATGTTGATGTTGTTTACGCCTGTGCGTTCACCGTAGCGTGGACGTGGCATAACACTCTACGTTTTCCATCTATTTAATAGTTAGACTTCCGCTGTGTATGCTTATTATGGTTAGATTATCTGCATGATTATGTTTTAAATTGGTATGGAAATCGGGGGTGTTACAAGGATTGCCAAGGGAACGCCGTGCTGTGCTACAACTGTGGGGAGAAAGGCCATAGGTCCTTTGACTGTAGCCAACCCGCGTGTGCAAGACCACCAGATACAGGGCAATAAGGAAATGCGAACAACCGAGGGGGATATGGAGCGCCCGGGAAAGTGTTCATGATGAGTCGCACTCAAGTCGAAACTGAAGCCGGGATCAGAGTCGAAACTGAGGATGACGCTGAAGCCGCAGCCGTACGAGACGAGGACCTTACAGGTAACCCTCTTTAACCCATCCTCGTCACCATAGAGCTTTTACCTTGTACAGTTCTTTCAGCCCCCTGTTGTTTCGAGTAGAGTTAATTAGTTAAATCCGATTGGTTTAAATCCTTGTTCCGTCCTTTGAACTAATTAGAATAATTAGTTGTTCCCTCATGAATTATGAGACCTTGGAAATAACACTTGGTAAATCTAAGGAGACAACTAAGGAGTTTAACTTAGAGTTTTTAATCCTACCCTAAGGCAATGGATGGTAAAAATCTAAGGAGCATAAGGAAGATGAACCAAAAACCTTAGAATAAGCCAAGTGTAGTGTGATACCCCAAAAATCCAATCCTTAAATAGAATTAATTATGTAATTAATTCTAAGCTTTCTCATGAATTTCCCCTTCCAATTCTTATGGACTTTGAGCTTTATACGTTGTACATGGCCTTTTGTCTTCCTAGCCTTTTAGTAAGGGTATGTTTGTCTTTTCACATTTACTTGGCATTCAAGCCTTTCCCTAGCAAGATCACATTTCATTTCCCTCATTTTGCGACACTCTAAACTCTCCACCCTCTCTCTAGAATAGTAGCTTTCTTCCCAAGCCATGTTAAGTCCACCTTCTTCCTTGTAAGGGATCTCTCCAAGATTCCACCTTTCCACCATTAAAACACTAGGAAGGGTAAGATCTTAGCTTAGTTGGTGTTTTTGAGTAGCTTTGCATAGTCTTTATCTAAGTTGTGGTTCTTCTTTGTGTGGTTTTTGTTTTGTTGAGAAGATTTGGGTGAGGAGGAACCTTAAGGAGAAGTATAGGAGTCTAAGGAAGAGATTTGTGGTCTACAACGGTAACCCATGCTTTACAAAACCTATTTTACACTTGATATGATGATTCTTGACATTCTATTTGATGTTCTTGATGTTCTTGTGAGATTTGATGCATAATCTTGTGTTTATGCATATTAGAGCTTGTATCTAGGGTTCTTAAATGCTATCTTTTGAGCTATTCATGTGTTCAAGTCATTTCCTTGTTGAATGTGAGGTTTTGGTTGTTTTGGACTTGAACTTGGTGTTGTTGATGTTTTTCCCCGAAGGGAAATTATTGTTGGTTTAGGGGAGGCAGCGTGCGGAACAGCGGGTAGGGCCCTTATTGCCGCTCCACCCGCTGTGGACGTGTGCTGTGCCGGCGGGCAGAGCCATGGGTGGAGGCCCACCCGTGGTTCCACCCGCTGGTACCGGCGGGTAGGGTGTGGCGGGTGGTTGTCCACCTGTGGTTCCACCCACTGTTATGTGATGCTTTGGCCTCTATTTTGTTGAATCGTTGAGCACTTGTGTGTCTCCTTTGATGTTTCGTACGTCTAGAACGGTGTCCTAAGTATCCGTGATAGGATTATGAGTCTTGAATCGTGCTTATGGTCCAACCTTGTGATTCGTTGGATTAATGTGAAGTCATTGAGGTTCGGATGAATCGTTATGTTTCTCCTTTTGATGTACATGCTAGTGTTAATGTTGTTTATGCTAGTATGTGTTGTTTGTTCGTTCCTAATAAGGATTGGTAACTTGTGTTACCAATCATGGTAGTCTTTGGATTAAAGTCTATCATTGAAGTATCGTTGCTTTGATGGTCTATTCATGCCTTTCATTGAAATCTATCGGTTGTATTCCTTGATATGATCTTGTACATGTGATGTACCCGTTTATTGATACTTGATTGGGCTATTGATGAGCCTCAATCCTCTATGATGAGGACCTAAGTAATGTTATATGATTGGTGGGCAATAATGATAGGAGATAGACTATCACGTGATTAGTACTATTCTATATGACTATTGACACTACGAGTGTCTCGTTTGGCGGTTAAAGCTGGCGGATGCAGGCGGGGGGCGGATCGCTCCGGAGGAATAAAGTTGAACTCGGTGTACAGGGTGGCAATATGAGGTAAAGGTTGGAACTGTAATAAGGCTGGCCTGGAGAGAATGGTTGGAAGAGGACATAAGGTTGGAACTTGATACTCATCTTTGAATGTGATTCTTGTCTCTCATGGTTTATGAGAGTGTTATTTATGATTATCGTTTGATATATCTTGTTGTTGAACATGTTGCCTTTGTCGTTCATTGAGTAATCTGTTGGGATTGGTCTTTGATTGAGAGTGCATTGATGTTGAGTCTTTATGTTGTTTTAAAATTATATACTGTATTCTAGTTTTTCTGCTTCAAAATTAAGGGTGTTACATATAACTTGTAAGATTCAAACCCTAAACCTTCCATTTCCAAACCAAGTTCTTAACCATTTAACCACAAGTATTTCTTGAAATTTAAAGGATATGAAAGCTTCTTAACCCTCTTCCGGTCTTCCCAAATCCCTAGAACCCCAAAATCCCCAAATCAAAAACCCTTCTTTCTTCCCATTCTCTCTCTCTCCCTCTCTACCCTCCCCACACGATCGGCCGAACATCCAAACCCCCGCCCAGGTTCCAGCCACCGCCCGTCACCTCTGCTGGCCACCGCCAACCACCCAAACCATCGCCGACCCAAGCTGCGACCGCCCAGCCAAGCAGCCGCTGCCGACCGCTCGCATACCACCCGGCGATCACGCAGCCATGCCCCATGCTCTACCCGTCGTCAACCAGCTTGAACCACCGCTGCCACCGCGATCCATCGAACCACCGTTGCCATCGCGACGACGAGTAGCAACCCGCAACCACCGGAGCCACACTGTTGGTCCCGATAGGGTGGTGAAAGTCTAGAGGGGGGGGGTGAATAGACTTTCAAGCTTTTTCGAAATAAATAACTCTTTGGTAATTTTAACTCTAAGTAACAAGTAAATAGAGTTAATTTAAACTGCACAGCGGAATAGGCAGTATGTAAAGAGTTATGCCCAAATAATGAATTAAATACGCATGTAAGATAGAATGAAGTGACAGAGATATCTTGAATATATAAAGGAGATGGTGCACTCAATATATAATAACAATATTCAAGATTATAAATAAATATCGTAACACGTCGACCGTGTGATGAATGTTACATGCAACACGTCAAACTTGCTTAGAATAATTCAATATTTAAGCTTGAGAAGTTTGAGTCACATGCATACGTGAAAACACACTAAACCCGAAGAATTAAGATTAACTGTGAATAGTAAACGGGTTAGTCAGATAAGATAGATAGATAGAGAAAATTATGTAAGTGCGGCATGTAAATGAGAGAGGCAATTTATAGTGGTTCGGAAGTGGCGTAATCTTCCTAGTCCACTCTTCTCCTTTCGCGTCTAGGAGAAATTCACTATTTTCCACACACAGTTACAATAGTGAATAAGCGCTACATAAGCACTTCTTCCGGATGTTTTGCACACAGCTACACCCAACTCCGAGTGTCTCGCACACAGCTACACTCAACTCCGAGTATTTCGCACACAGCTATACTCAACGCCAACTAAGTGTCTTGCACACAGCTACACTTAGCAACTACGAGTGTTTTGCACACAGCTACACTCACTAGAGTATTTTGCACACAACTATACTCTTTTTACAATTACAAATACAAAGGTAATTGTATCTCTCTCCAACTAGATTCGAGACTATTCGGACTAAGTCTCTAAGAATATTTGAGCACTTGCACTTTCGTATGTATTGCACTTCTATCTCGTTGCTCTGCACTTGTTCACCTCTGCTCCACTTCAAGTCTTCATGGCTTTTTATAGGCAATCAAATATATCCGTTGGAGTAGGATAATTTGATATTTGAATTTTGAATCTTCATAGCCTGATATTGTTGACAATAGTAGGTCTTCAATTTTGATTTGATCGTCAACTTGCCTGACAAATAATATTTTATCACAACTTGATTTTCTAGCTGTTTAAAATATTATTTTTCTTGTCATATTGAATATCCAACGTATCTTTGAAATAAATTCATCTGATAGAATTTATTTCTAGGATAAGTTTTTATATTCATGTCTTCATAAATATTTTTCCGTTCTGATCAAATGTCTTTCAGGCAATTTTGGATTCTTGTGGCATGTGGGTAGACTTGGAATAAATTCCTTCGAATTAATCCAATTTCTGATCATCTTGCTTCTTTGCCACATTGTGCTCCTTTGACTTGAACATCGTGCTCCTTGACTTGAACATTGTGCTTTTCTGATTTGGTCACATATTGCTCCTTTGGACACATCGTGCTTGTTCACATTGTGCTCCTGTAGAACATTGTGCTCCTTTAGATACATTGTGCTCCTTTTGATACATTGTGCTTCTTAGCACACATTGTGCTTCTTAGCACACATTGTGCTTGTCAGCACACATCGTGCTCTTTTGGTAGCATTGTGCTCTTTTTAATACTTTGTGCTCTTTTGATAGCATTGTGCTCCTTGGTGAACATCGTGCTCTTTTGGACATTGTGCTCTTTTGCACATTGTGCTTGTCCGAAAATTTGACTTGTAAAAAAATGAGTCCTTGGGGGGGGGGCGGGGGGGGGGGGGGGAATCGATCTCGAGTGTGATTGTTTTGAATAAGAACTTCTACTATTTCACCGTAAGGCTCATCCGGTTATTCTTTGCAACGCCATTCCTTTATGCTTCTTTCTCGGATGAATACTCGTAGGACCAAAATTAATTTCTCAAATTAATTTTGTTCTTCATATGGTAGATTCCTTCTGACTCGATATTCTGATTTATGATGCTTGTACTAAAAGACCTAAAAACTAAGGGGATCTAAAGTACATTTGGCTCATCAAAACTTACAAAAAATATTCCTATCAATTTTCCCCCTTTTTGATGACGCCAAAACCTATACTCAGTCATTTGGCTTGTCTTTTAAAAACAATTATTTTTCAAAAGATTTTATTAACTTAGACATAGCCAAGACGAGTTTAACATTTGATTTTGACTCTAGGAAAGGTATTTTTAGCAACTAAAATTCCTATTCGCATTTTTGGATTTTAATAATAATGAATTTTTGCATTTTTCCAATTTATGCGATTTGGTACAAACTAAGCTAAAAATGTTACCTTTCAAGACAAATTAAATAACAATAAATAACAAGGAAAACTTAATAGCATCATAATCAGATAATTCGAATCATTCCAACTTGTTCCAAATTGTTCATGGGTTCATGTTCCCGTGGACCATACAAAATAAATGTGACAATCATACAAATCATCTAATGACTTTGTTTCTCTTCTCTTTAAGCACATGATTTATATGATTTTGAACATCAATGAAATTGTCACTAATGGCATAATTGTTGCATACCTGCCCAACTGAATAATAGTTGAATGCTTCGATGATGTTGTTCCCGGGCAGTATACCTTCTTCATACCATATGATGCATTCTTCTAGGCTTCTTCCATTTTGTAGCTCGGCATCATTGACTTTGATATAGTCCTTTAGAACCATGATCATCAAAGCTCTAGCATAGCTTTGGATTCTTCTGAAATTCTCGTTTGAAACCCACAAATTTTGATCACTTGGACCACTCTTCTTCATACCCTTTGGTAGATCATTCAAAGTTACCAACTTTGGCATTTCAACTCTACCATCTCTTGGTGTGGATTCCAAATAGAGAGCTGCACGGTTATACCAATTAATTTGCTCAATATTTCCTCCTGCACAAACAATGTCACGAAAAGAACGGTTAGTGGTATTTGCGCTGCTTGATCCTCCTGGACTGCCAGCCTCACCACCACCGAACCAATATTCTAAACCTCCTCTTCTAGCAACATTTCTGCCTCCTCCACCTCTACTACTGCTTGTGCCAACATTTCGGGTGGCCATGGCAGTCATCATCATCTCAAACATGCCTTCCAAATGACTGAATCTCTCTTCCCCCTTTTTGGCGTAATCAAGGAGTGTATGAACCGATTCACGAAGAGATGAAATAGATTCGGAAATATTTTCATATGATCCCCGAAGGCAGCCCACTTTAGTGTTGACGGAGATGAGATCCGTGTGGACATCACTAATCTGCTTCTCATGTTGATGAACAACATTGAGAATTCCTTGGCTTTGATTCACGGCAATTGCTTCATTTGCCTTTCCAGAATTCTTGAGGATTTGAGAGAGTTGGATGTAGAACTCATTGAGTTGCCCCTTGACATTTGCATTTAATCCTCCAACTTGTCTCTCAAGTGCTTGGTGGGTGTCAATCAAATGTTGTTGACTCCTCCGATTTTCATCAAAAGATGTTTCAAATTTTCCACCTTGAGTATTGACAACATGATCCACATGAGTGTAGATGCCTTGAAACATGCTTTCCATTCGGTCAACAAGGCTTAGTACAACTTTCTCCAGATTTTCCAATTTTTCCTTTGAGGTTGTGCCTTCAATGTCTTGCTCTTCTCGGGTTGTGGGAACACACCTTGCTCCTTCTTGAGCAGAATTGACTTCAAGCATGTGAGATTGTGCTTGATTTTCCACTTGATATCCTTCTCTTTCCGGTGTGTGTAACACGTGCGTGTCACCTTGTGCACTTTCTGCATGAATGGATTGAATTTCCTCCGTGTGTTGGCTAGCTTACATGACATTTTGATCTTGACTTATTTCAGTGAAATTCAAAACACTCACATCATATAAACCACTATCCATTAAATGTGCACCACATGTGACATTTTCTTCTTCTACATTCCTTGTGACAAATTCATCAATATCAACTAGGAAATCATCTTCGGTAGGTATATCTCCTTGGACTGTGACATCAACAGTAGCTTCGGCCAACTTAGCTTTCAATTTATTCACAAATATTCCATTCACCGTAGACATCAAGGTTGCATGGCCAACATCAAAATTACCAATCCAATTCAAGGAAAATAATTCTTCTTCTTGCATACTCGGTCCTTTTGTCATCAAATCTTGATAGGAACCAAGTCTACATTTTCTCTAATTTAGGACTCTTCAGTATTCACTCACCAACACCATATCAAGTCCATCAACTTGATGAATCTCCTCATTCAACATTGTTTCCAATTCGGCAATTTGGGAAAAAGGATTTATGAAACTTTTGCTTGTATTAGGATTTTGGCTTGTATTTGGATTTTGGCTTGAGGTAGGATTTTGGCTTGTGTTTGGATTTTGGCTTGTATTTGGATTTTGGCTTGAGGTAGGATTTTCATGGGATTGAGTTGAGGGTTGAGAAGATAAACCAAGAATTTCTACAATTGGCCTTTTCCTAGCAGGAATGCCTCTCGGTTTCCTTTTTCTTTTGGAGTTCAAATCAGTTGATTCTTCATGATCTTTGAACAAAATTCGGTTACTTCCAAAAGGCTTTCTTGATCTCATTGGTAACCCTTTCATTTTTATAATTTCACCAATAAGCAAACCGAACCCTAGGATGCGGTTGAACTTCCCATTCCTAATTTTCGCACCTTTCACAATATGTGCAATCCGGCTCAAGATAAGCTTACTCCAGTCACCCCTAACTCCATTCATCACAGCATGCAAATATCCAATTCTCACGGGTGATATATCCTCCATACTATTCAATTTGCACAACACACATTTATAGAGAATTCTAACTAGCATCTCATACTCATGCTTCAAGTCAGATTTTTGACCGGAAAGATTTAGTTCGAGAGAAGCATTCTCATTCCGAATTTCTGTCCAAATTTCCGTGTGATCATATGTGTGAACATCTAAGTCCAACAGTGGTTGTTCTGGACTAGATATAGGCAGTCCAAAGGTTGTGTGCAACTCATGTTCATCAATGGTGATGAGAGTTCCATTCACGGTGGACTCAATGGTCCATCCAACAACCTTGGCATTCATATAAAAATCTGCTACATCTTTCATCATAAAATCCTGAGTATGGATAAGAACATAACCTCATGAGATTACTTTGTTGAAGTGCATGGATGATTCTTTGTGCAAGATGAGAGTTCTCGGCTTCTTTGAGGAATCCTTGAGGGTCAAAACTTCCTCCGGCCTTGATTCCAACTGCTAGCTTCGTGAGGTTGAGTTGTGTAGAGTGTTCTTCATTCGGTTGAGAGCTTGAATCTCCAATGGTAGCCATAATGTGCTTGGTATTTTTAGAGATTGAGGGATTGAAGATTTTGAAAGAGATGAAGATTGAGTGTTTCGGCTATGGAAGGTGAAAGGATTTTGAGAGTTTTGAGTGTAATGGTGGCTCTTCCAACCGGTTGGGTGGAAGGGAGGTGTCTTTACACAAATATCCTCACAACTTAAATGTTGACTTTTAATAAGTGAGGGTATTTTTGATATTCCAATAGCTTCCAACCTTTGACCTAACTGATAGTTAGTTTAGGTTATATATTCTCCATCCAATTTGTCTGCTGATGTGGCGCCAAAAATTTAGATACTCGGACTGATTTTACCTGAAATAAAATTCATAGAGCACTAAATCTTTTCCGAAAATGATATGTATATATCTACACGTTTTATGTAGATGGAAGAAAGAGAAATCTATTCTTTCTAGACTATTTATTATGCACAACTACCATAAAAAGGTGTTCTTATTTAAGGCTACTTATCATCACACCATCTTGTCACTCATAAATGGTAAGATTGTGTAGATCTAAATGATTTTTATTTATGCATATATGTATGTAGATACACGGTTGAAATAGAGATACATGCAATTGAGATAGGTAGACTTTAAATGTAAAGATGTGACAACTTTTGCATGTGTGACACATAGGCACGAAATAAAGTATCAAAATTTCAGATGAATATTGAGCTTATAATTTAAATAGAGTTTAGAAACTTAGCTCAATTCAATCATGCCCATCTCGTGTCTTAATTTCGAAAATCTTGATTCACACAGAGGCTTTGTGAGAATATCGGCTAATTGATTCTCAGTCGGGATGTATTCGATTGATAATTCCTTCTTTTCAACATGATCCCGGATAAAATGATGTCTCACGTCAATGTGTTTTGTTCTTGAATGTAACACGGGATTGTGAGTTATAGCTATGGCACTTGTATTGTCACACAATATGTTGACATTTTCACAATTCACGCCATAGTCTTTCAGCTGTTGTTTCATCCAAAGAATTTGCGCGCAACAACTCCCAGCAGCTATATATTCAGCTTCGGCTGTACTCGTGGCTATGGAGTTTTGCTTTTTGCTAAACCATGATACCAATCTTCCCCCTAAGAACTGGCATGTCCCTGAGGTACTTTTTCGATCGATTTTACATCCTGCAAAATCTGCATCTGAGAAACCAGTTAGTGTAAAATTACCTTCTTTGGGATACCATAATCCCACATTGACTGTTCCTTTTAGGTATCGGATGATTTTCTTGGTAGCAAGAAAATGACTTTCTTTTGGCTTTGACTGGAACCTGGCACATACTCCCACTGAATAAGATATATCTGGTCGACTTGCAGTGAGGTATAGTAATGATCCAATCATTCCTCGATATTTTGTTTCGTCAACGTCCTTGCCTTCATCATCTTTATCCAATCTTAAAGATGTGCTCATCGGGATCTTGATTGAGGATTTTCCATCTTGACCGAATTTCTTTATAAGATCTTTCGTGTATTTGGCCTGATTGATGAATATTCCTTCATTGAGTTGCTTTACTTGTAATCCAAGAAAGTAGTTCAACTCTCCCATCATGCTCATCTCGAACTTATTCTGCATTAGCTTGGAAAATTTCTCACATAAAGTTTTATTAGTACTACCAAATATAATATCATCGACATAAATTTGTACCAATAAAATGTGATCATTTTCTTGAATTCTAAACAAGGTTTTATCAACAAGGCCTTTTGTAAAACCACAGTTAATTAGGAACGTTGATAGGGTGTCATACCAAGCTCTCGGTGCCTGTTTTAACCCATATAACGCCTTCTTTAATCTGTAGACCTTATTAATATCACCTTTTACCTCGAAACTGGGAGGTTGCTCAACGTAGACTTCCTCTTCAAGTAAGCCGTTCAAAAATGCACTTTTCACGTCCATTTGATAGACAGTGAAATTCTTGTACGCGGCATATGCTAGAAATATTCTGATGGTTTCCAGTCTTGCAACTGGTGCAAACGTTTCATCAAAATCTATGCCTTCTTCTTGTGAATATCCTTTTGCCACTAAACGTGCTTTATTTCGTATGACAATTCCATCCTCATTTGCCTTATTCCGAAAGACCCATTTTGTTCCAATTACATTGTAATTTTCAGGTCTTGGAACTAATTCCCATACGCCATTCCTTTTAAATTGATCAAGCTCTTCTTGCATTGCATTAATCCAATCTGGATCACTTAGAGCTTCTTTAATGCTTGTGGGCTCCACCTGAGAAAGAAAACAAGAAAATAAAGTATGTATATTTGAGGACCTTGTTTTTACTCCTTCTCGTGGATCTCCAATCACTAGCTCTGGAGGGTGATTTTTGAGCCATCTCAAGTCAGGTTGTAGGTTGCATGGGCTTTCCACGTTTCCTTGCTCAGTAGGTAAGTTGGAGGTAGACACATTTTGCTCATCAGATTGATCTCCAACTTGTGTTTCAACTTGAGAATTTTGACTTTCCACGT